TGGAACCCAGCAGGAATACTTCAGCAGTCCCTCGGGAACCTTGGAAGGAATCGATAAGGGATCTCGAATCCCGAGGGATCGCTGGCAATCCCTGGGGAACCCCGAGGACTCTCTGAGTCATCGAGAGGCGCCCCGAGGGAGCTCTGAGGCACCCGCCGAGCTCCCAGACAAGAGCCGCAGCGGCACTGTGCGCTCCGAGGCTGGCCCTCCAAGCTACCCCCAAAAACCCAAGATGCACCTAACCAGCCTCGAACTTATCCCTATCCCTAAGATGGGCGAGCAAAAAGCGAGGGCAGTCTCAGGGATAGGCCCTCAGAAACCGAGGGAATCCTTAAGATCGGCATCGAGGTGAGGTGATGTCGAACACAGGGATAGGGATACGCTTCAAACTGGTAAAAGATGCATCGTCCCCCCCCCCCCCCGCACCACCATTCTGTCTTCCTGCGCGGCCGCTTCGAGCTTGGTGGGACCCTCGCGCTCTCGGTGGGGGCCGGGAGCGGGTGGTCTAGACGAGACCACTGTGGTCTGATTGGTGCACGGAGGAGGAATGCGACAGCGGACGGCCCTGCTCGAGGGCCACCCGCAGGACAGGCACACGCTGCGACATCGGGCCACATCTACAGCACACGCACATCACCTCCTTACTTGAGACTGGAAAAATATTCCTATTCATGTTTGTTTGTATAAGGCCTGTGGCCCCGGAAAAAACGCCCCCCGCCCCCTCCCTAACGAATTTGGCCCACCCCAGCCCTCCAGGCAACCCTCCAGACGACCCTGGAGAACCTCGCGCGAGCCCAACGACGGCCCCAGAGGGCTCCAGGCGTTCCGGCGCGCTCCCGAAACGGCCCCAAAGAGCCCCAATACGGTCCACAACAACCCCCAAGAAGCCGTCATACCCCCAAAGATCGCTCCAAAACGTCCCAAGAGGCCTCCAAGAGCACTCCCAAGAAGGCCCCAAGAGGCAAAACTCGTTGATTTTCTGTGATTTTGGTGAATTTGTGGGTTCTCCTCTTTTCGGCTTCCCGACGCTCCAAGACGGCGGTCTTTTGGGCGCCCGAAGCCGCCTGGGAGGCTCGAAAATCGCCCCACAACCATCCGAAAGGGCTTCCAGGCAGTCCAAGAGAGCCCCAAGACGGCACAACAGGGTTCCAAGATGCCCTAAGGTAGCCCCATGACGGCCCAAAATGGCCCCAAGACATCCTCCGAAGCATTCCAAATCGTGACCCGGTCGTTCAGGGATACCGCGGTTGGAGGCAGAGTGCCCGAGGAAGCCCCCAGAGGCCCCCAGAAGACGCCCAGGAGGCCTCCAGAAGGCCTTAAGAAAGCCTGAAAAACTTGTGTGGGGCCCCCAGAGTCTCTCCAAGGAGGAGCCTCCGCAAAAAGAGCTGAGGAGGATGGGGAGAATGCGCAGGGTACGGCAAGAATGACGGAAAAGAAGCATGGAGAAAGGACAACGAAGAACGTTACTTTAACATCACTCCCGGCACGCACTTGTGGAACCGATTCCGCAGGAAAAACAACAACAACATGGACCAATCTTCAAAGGCAACCACCCCTTGAAAATAACAACGACATCTCGACTAAACCGGTAACCCTCCGCCTACGAAATTCTGACAACGGCCGAAACTCGATAGACTAACCGCAATGTATATTTTGACAAAACTCTAACAATGAACGAGCCGAAAGGCTTAAATCGACATAACGTAAACTCAACAAAAACAACTTTTTGCCTGAAAACATAGCCATGAAAGTGCGATGCAGGGGCAATGTACTCAAACATACTTCAACACATTGTGATATGGAAACTAAGAATTAGCGTTTATATCCACACTGGTTTAGTTTCCACGCGCGCGCGTATATAGTTTCAAACGCGCTCATTTCTGACGTTATTCTGCGTGTTCTAATGGTCATCGCGCGAATCGGAATTATGATGTATGCCTTCACTCAATGCGATTATGGCTCGGATCTCAAACCTTACACTGGTTTACGCGGCTTCGCTCGTCACAGAGGCCAAGAAAACTCGAAACACACTCCGCAACTGCGAAACTTGAATCAACCAATTCGCACAAAACTCCCGGAGGCAACGCGGGCCGCGAGAGAGGTCAGGGGAGGTCCACCTGCCCGTTCAAGGGGCCACGACCCTCAACAGAGGCCCGTCTTGAGGGGTTCGACAGTGATTCCACCGTCATCGTGCAACCGCCGCGCAAAATTTGACAACGCTGGGCTGCCCTGAAGGGTTGAACGGTGCCCGCCAACAAAATTCGACAACGAAATCTTGGATCCGACGGTCACCCCAGTCCCGCAGAGACTGCCAGGACTGATATTATAACGGCGACGCTGGAAAAGGCAACAAGGAGTTATCGCTAAATTGTCGAGTGACCTTCCTGCCATTCCGCCTGCATACCAAACTTCAAGGACCAAGGTGCATGGCGCGAAGCGCCACAACAGTCTTGTGTATATGTATGTGTGTGTATATATATATATATATATGTCGGCCCTGCTGCGAGCCGAAGGTGAGGGCCCTAGTTACTTGAGGTGGAGTGGCGGGTTCTCATTGGGCGTGCATGTGCCCTGCAGATCTTGCGGTGATTCCTTGCCGACGCGTACAGATCTAATGCTCCATGCCCTCGCGGACTTCTCCACTTTTCCACTTCTCTTCGCACTGCCAGCGCCGCATAGTCTGCACTCGGGTGACTGTGCTGTTTCCCCGGCCCGAGTCAAAGCAACACAAAAGCTATTTCGCCCCGTGTTTGCCGAACGCAGCCAGGAGAAGGAAGAGGGGAGGAGGAGGCGGAGAAAGAGGAGGAGGAGGCGGAGGAAGAGGAGGAGGAGGAGGCGGAGGTAGAGGAGGAGGAGGAGGCGGAGGAAGAGGAGGAGGAGGAGGAGGAGGAGGAGGAGGAGGAGGAGGAGGGGCGAGGGCTCCCGTCCCGCCCACCCTCGGCAGTGGCCATGGGGTGGAGGGCGCGCCTCCTCGGCGGGCGCCTCCGGCGAGCCTGGCGCGCCTTCCGAGGCCCGGGCCCCGCTCGAGCTGGCACCGCTCTGGGAGCGCCGACTCCCGCCGCGTCGGGTGGGGCGCGCGCCGCCCTCTCGTCCGCCTCTCCGTCGCGCGCCCCCTCGGTCTCTCGCGCGGCGGGGCCGTTGAGACTGCTCTTTTTTAGAGGTCTGGCGATAATAAAGGGGCCCCAGGACACACAAATAAATCCACACAAATAAAAAGATTCCCCATATTTTCCTATATTTTCTGGGTTTTTGTCTTCCCCCCCACTTCCCATATTTTCCCATATTTTCTGGGGAATCGCCAATTAATTGTGTCTGTGTGTTTCTTTCCCTCCTGAGATAACCCGGGTTATCGGGCGTGCGCCCCCCTCCCCCCGCCCCAAGGTTGCCTAACCTTGCCGGTGGTGCAGGTCCGGGATGGGGGGGGCGCGGACATATGCAGGGCTGCCCACAGCGCGAGGGTCCGGTTATCGGCCCGCCCCCGCCCCACCCCCCGGGGATAACCCGGGTTATCGCCGATTCAAAAAAGCGGTCTTCCAGGGGGCACCATCGGAGTTCGCCCCCCTCCGCCGCCAGGCAGTGGGTCTGGCGGGGGTCCACAGGTCCTCGTACAAGCCCAATCCCGACCCCCGAGTAACCTCGCGCGCCTCTGGAGGTCGGCGGCGCACCCTGAGGCTCGGAGACCACCTACCCTGGGTAGGGTGGGAGGTGAGGGGGGGGGAGGCAGAGAGGAAATTATGCTGGTTCTCCCTGGACCTCCCCAGGGGTGCGTTCTGACCAGAACTCTGAAGAGAATCCAGCCGTGGCCACGAAGGCTTTCCAGGACGAGCGGTATCGGTATCTCTAGATCCTCTGAGGGAAGCGGCTGCCGAGAGTCGTGACAGTCTGCGACTCGGCGCACGGCAGCACACGTGCGCCACACGGCATAATACCACATGGCATGCCGCCATACGACAATGCACGGGGGTAACATCTCCGTCGCCAAGGCACAGCATGCGGCACCACACGGCGCCGCAATGGCAAGGCCGCGTGCATGCACGTGTAGCTTCACCATCTGGGACAGCACACGGCACCGCATGGTTGTGTGCAACTGTTTCACGTTCCGAAGGCAGCCATTAGGACCTCTGAACCCATCGACCCCGATGGACCACAACACGAGTGCGTCTCAGAATGAGCCGCATCGATGCGCAGTTCCGCGGGCCTCGCTCAGGGGCACAGGGCTGCAACGGTCCCTGGCGGGTTGCCGGCGTGCCTTGTTTGTCCAGGCGTTTTCCTCCCCCTTTTTCTGGTTAATTCAAGCTTCGCGCGGCCCGCTTAGCTTCGAAGTTGTCCAGGCGTTGGTTTCCTGTCCCCTGATCTCTCCAGCCCTGCCTCGAATGGGCTGCTTACTGCGCGAGGGACAGAGCAAAGGAGGGGAGCGCCTCGGCCGCCCGGCTACTCTGGGTTGCTCCAGGACTCCCACAGGGACGCCACCGAGGCCGGGACGCGCCCCAGGAGGCCTCGAAGACGGCCCCAAGAGGACCCGACGAGAGCCTCGAGGGCTCAGGACAGCTGAGGATGTCCACAAGATGCCCCTAAGATGGCCCAGAAAGACACCAGGATGCCCCAGAGAAAGCAAAAGCCATTGGAAGCGCGATGTCTTGGGCCTGTCCCGTGCTTCGCGCTCAGGATGATCGCAAAGACATCTACATATCTTGACCATCAGACGGTCCAAAGTGACCCCAGAAGGCCCCACAATGCTACCCAGATCTTTCGGGATGGCCCAGCAAGGACCCAATATGGCCCCCAGAGGCCCAAACGTTGCCCAGTATAAGGCGGCCCGAGAGGCACCAAGGTGCCCCCTGGGACACTCCGCGATGGCCCAAGAAGGCCCCGAACATTTTCCGAAACAGCCACAAGATTACTCAGCATAGGAGACAAGCGGCTCAGGGTGCAGCCCTTCAGCTCAAAGGAAGACTTGAGGAAACACGTAGGACGTAGGAAAGGACGACGAGGACGCAGACCTGGCGCCGTGTGAGGTCAACGCGAAACTTGTTGAGGTCGATGCCATCTTCCTGGTCGATACTGTGCTCCTGTATGTCAATGAACGTGTTCTTCACCTTGGTGGCCGTACACGATGGGCATCATTCCCCCCCTGACCCGTGCAGCAACATCAAAAGTTCGAGAATCCGAATGTCTGCCACACTTGCCCGCCCGACACTCAACACACAAATGTGCGCGTTCCCCCGTCCCGTCCGACGGGGCTCTTCGAGACATGTCCAACCAACACGGCGACGTCCCAACAGCTCGAGAAGAGTACAGCAACCGCATGGGATGCCTGAGGCGTCTCTCTCCTCTCTCCCTCCTTCCATCACAGCACTCAGCGACGGGCGCCCATGATCCGAGGGCGACCCGGAGGAGGAGGAGGAGGAGGAGGAGGAGGAGGAGGAGGAGGAGGAGGAGGAGGAAGAGGAGGAGGAGGAAGAGGAGGAGGAGGAGGAGGAGGAGGAGTCTCTCCCCTTCTTCCATCACAGCACTCAGCGACGGGAGCACTGGATCCGAGGGCGACCCGGAAGCTGCCGGGGGAGGCTCGCGGCGACAGCAGCGGGCTCTCGGGCGGGCGGGGGGGGGGAGCGGCCTTCAGCAGAGGGGGGCGGAGGGGGGGGGGGAGGCGGGGGAGAAGGGGGCGGGAGCCCGCGCCGCGGCCTGGACCAGCGACGGCTGGTAGTGGCGTGGCTCCTCCGCGGCGGCGGGGCCTCTCCGCCCCCCTCCCAGCGCCACCCTCCGCCCTCCCCCCGCGTTGAGTCCCGCCCCTGCCTCCCCCCGTCCACACTCTGCTCCCCATCCTCCCTCCTCCTCCTCCTCCTCCTCTCCTCCTCCTCCTCCTCCTCCTCCTCCTCCTCCTCCTCCTCCTCCTCCTCCTCCTCCTCCCCCTCCTCCCTCCTGCACCTCCCCACCTCTCGAGGGATGGAAGAAGGCGCCCCTGCCCTAGGCTGCACGCGCGTGGTCCGCAGGCCCCCCGGGAGCTCCTACGGGCCAGGGAGCCGCCAGGACGCCGCGCGGCACGAGCGACACCGCGCAGGGCTGACCCTGTCGGCCCACAGGAGGCTCAGCGCACGGCGCCTCATAAACCAGGGCAGGGGCGTGGTTTTACGCCCTTCGGTTTCATCCCTCCCCCCTGTCGCCCCCCTTCTCCCCTCCAGCCTTCCCTCCCCCCCCCTGTCCGCCCCTCCTCACCGCTCCTTCCACGCCCCCCTCCCTCCTCGAACCGCCTCGCGCCTCCCCCCCCCTCCCTCCTCTCCCCTCCAGCCTTCCCCCCCCCCCCCTGTCCGCCCCTCCTCGCCGCTCCTTCCGCGCCCCCCTCCCTCCTCGAACCGCCTCGCGCCTCCCGCTTCTCTCGCTGGACCTCCTCCCGCCCTCTGCGCCCCGCTCCCCCCCCCTGCAGACCCGTCCCCCCCCACCACCTCGTGCGATCCTCAGGTCGGGCGTGTCCCCCTACAAGGGGGATTCGGGACGAGACATAAAGATAGTGAAAATATTGCACCTGAGAAGCTCCAATCGGTGGATGGTTTGAAAATTAGTCATATGGATCTTGAGATCGATTGTGAGATCGATAATGAGATCGATAGTGGAATCGATAGAGGACGATTGTAAGGTCGATCGTGAGACCGATAATGACATCGATTCAATGAGATCGATAGGGAGACCGATCGCGAGATCGCTCGTGCGATCTCTGGTGCGATCGCTTGCGCGATCGATCGTGAGATCGATGGTGAGATCGATGGTGAGATCGATAAAGAGGTGGGAAATGAGATCGATGCTGAGACCGATCGATAAGAAGATCGACCAAGAATCCGGGAACCTGGGAACCTCGCCGCCCACCGAAATCGGCCCGGGAACCGAAAACCCTGGAACCCGGAACCAGGAACCCCGGAACCCAGCGTCCGACCCACATCGGCGGGAAACTCTCGCCAAATCCTTCAGCCTCCGCTAGGACCCCTTCAGTGCAAGCACTGATTGGGGAATATTCCCAAATGGCCAAACATAGAAACAAAATCATCCCCATTACATTTTTTACTATTCTTGAATATTCCTGAGCTCCGCCCAGCGCGCCACCTGCACCCCTTCCTGCCGCCCCAAGCCCGCGCACCTTTGCCATCCCCTCAAGGTTCTCGTCACTGACTGCCTGTCCTCCTCTCCCTTCCTCTCCCCCCTCCCCCTCCATCCCCGCCCTTTCCGTGGTCTGTCCCCTCTCCGATCCGTCCTCCACGGACCCTTCCACGTCTCCTATCATTCCTCAAGTCTTCTCCTCCTCCTCCTCCTCCTCCTCCTCCTCCTTCTCCTCCTCCTCCTCCGCTTCCTCCTCCTCCTCCTCCTCCTCCTCCTCCTCCTCCTGCCCATTCCTAGATCACCCCTCCTCCTTCATCCCGCTGGTCAATCCCCTTATCCGTGTAATGATCTTTCTCCTTGTCCTTACCCTTACCCTTATCCTTATCATTCTCAATAATATCATCCGTATCATTATCATAGTTCCTCCTCCTCCTCTTCTTCCTTATTATTGTTTGTGACATGATTACTGCTCGGATTATCTTTAACATCATTATTATCATCATCATTACTCATTGTGGTTACCATGAGTTTTATTTATTGCTACTTTTTATTGATGCTAATAACACTCTTATTCGTAGTATTGTTGTTATGAGTATTACGAATATCATCATTACCCTTGTCAGTAGTATTCGTCGTACTGTTAATAGTGATCATATAATGTTGTTTCTCTTGTCCCTCTCTTTCCCCTCCTCGTCTGTTTCTTTCAAGTACTATTCCTCGTCTGATCAATACTGCTCTGCTTAGTAAGCCAGTATGTATTGTCTGTCCTCCTCCTCCTCCTCCTCCTCCTCGCCGGTGGTTCCACCCCATCAGGAAATACCCTGGCGAAGGACCCACCCACAGCCACGAAGCGAGTGCTGGGTGTGCCGAAGCGGGCGGAGCGGCATGCGGACCCTGCCGCCCTGGCTTTCGGGGGGAGCTCCCTGCGAGGCCACGACAAAGCGTGAGCGGTGTGCTCCAATGGGCGGGGCGGCGCCACACCGGCACCTGCCACTGTGGCCTTCGGTGGAGCTTACTTCCTACGGGGCCACGAGGCGCGTGAGCGGTTCGCCGAATGAGGATGGCGGGGTGAGGGAGGAGGGGTGGGGGAGTGGGCAGCGGGAGGAAATGGTGCAGACGCGGGGCGTTGCAGGCACGAGGCGGGGACCCAACGCCACAGGATGGCTGGGGAACAGTGCGCGGTCTACGTTTCCCCTTTCACCACGAACGGCTCGTCGCCGACGTTGCAGCACGCGTGGCTGGCATGGGATGGGGCGCACACCGCGCGCGGAAGGACAACATCTGAGAATCGCGTGATCGCCACGGCGCCGCACCCATTCCCCATGAAAGTTGAAATCCCGCCGGCGGCACACATCGCGCGCCCTCCAATTCGCCGACGCGCAGGCGGGCGATCATGTCGCTCACGCATCAGCGCCGCGCCGACTCCGGCTGCCAGTGACCGTCGCAGGTAGAGGCCAACGACAGCGCGCCCCGGTCTCCGCCTCCGCCCCTCGTTCCCCGCCCCCCCCCCCTAATTAGCGCCCCTGCGCGCGCGGCCGCCGCAGAGGCCGAATCCCCTGGAGCACGTCGAGAAATACCATTTACACTCTGCGAAATGCTTTAGAAATCATGGGTTAAGAAATTCATAGTCTCAGAATTTGAAATAAAACCCAGAATGTCTATTCAAATCTTAGGATTTACATTCAAAAGTTAAGAATAATCGAGACTCTGGCCGAAACTTTAGGTTTTCTTAAGCATCGCCTAAGGTTTACACTCGCACCCCCTCTCTCAGAGAGGCACGGTTCGAACCGTGTAAGGCGGGGCGCCCTGGGGGGGCGGGCGGAACTGGAGCGACGGCCCTGCGCGCCCGCAGCCTGGGATTGGGTCGGGCGTGTCCTCCTTCAGGCGGATGTTCGACGAACAGTTAAAAGATAAGCAAGCAAAATTCAAAACATGTTACAAGCAATGGAAGCATCGCCCCGAGACTATATTCTGACAACTGTTGAATATTTTTGGGCGACCCATAAAGGGGTCCAGCTGAAAGGGGGTGGTGCCATAGATTTCGGGCAATTGGATTGCAAATGTATTGCGCCGGAGAATTGGATTGCATTGTATTGCAAGCAATGTACTCCACGCGAAAATACAGCAATACATTTGCGCCCCGGAATGTATTGCACGCCCCAACTGTATTGCAACCCCACAAACCTTTTGCACCACCCCCTTGTCGCTGGACCCCCTTCTGGGTCAACCCAAATGTTCCTCCTGTAGAGGGACATGCCCGGTTCAAGCTCAGGAGAGGGGCGCCCCCCCAACGAGCGCTCGCGAGGCGAAGCCGCCCCCCCCCAAGAGGCCCAGGACCCCAAGCGGTGCCCGACGTCGCCTCGGGGCCCAGGCAGGCTCGTCGCACGGGACGGGGCGCCGAAAGCCACGCGGTGCGGCGCCCGGGCGGGCGCGGCAACCGTGCATGGCAACGTGCCGAAGAGAGGCAACCGCGCTTCCCTCTCGGGGCCACTGTGCAAGCGCGCCTGCGCAGCGCGCGCGCGCGCGCCGACGCCGCCCCCAAGAGAGGCCAGACTTGAGCCGTCAGAAGGGGGGCTGCCGCCGGGGGCGGGCGGAACTGAGGCGGCGACCCCAAACTGTACAGTCAAAACGTGTATTAAGGACGGGTGGTAAGGACGCAAGACCCTTGGAGGCCGAAGTTGGATTTTTGGGGCGGGGGGCGGCCAGTGAAAACAGCGAAGGACGGGCCGCAGAGGCAAGGACTCAAGGGCACCCTAGATGAAGGCACGCGTCCTTAATAGGCGCGTTGACTGTATAGCGATGCCCGACGCAGTAGCTGGAGAGCGCAGTAGTGCCGCGAGCCGGCCCACGAGGCCACGGAACAGCCAGCTCGCCATCTGAATCACCTCGCTCGCCTTCATCTCCTTCGACGCCGGTTTCGCCTTCGCGCTGGTGGCCTCCACCTCCTCCAGCTCGTTCTTGGCGATCAGCCGTTCCGCTCCGATGAGCGCGGCGTCCCGTCACTTCTCCGTTGTTCCTGGGCGCTCCGTTCAGACGATGCCCTCATTCGGGCGCGCATGCACGCGCTTCGTGCCCCGAACATGGGCCGTGATCGCGCGCTGAGCCGGGTCCGCCACCCTTCAGGTAGTCGACTTTGCCACCCCGAGGCGGCTCACCGACAGGAGGGCCACCCCGCGCGGCTGCCGCGCGGCTTCCCCGTCATGCCCTTCAGGTACACCCTGTTGCACCTCGCCCGCGGCGCCGCGAGGCTCGAGGGCGCCCTTCCACTCGCTCCTCGCAGCGCCACCAACTGCCAGATCGAGGGGCTCTGACCCGCACTTCTCCTCCTCGCCCCCCAGGTCACCCGGCAGCAGGTAGGGGGCCACATGCGAACCCTACCCCTACCCCCCACGATTTTTGAGGGGGAGAGTGGGGTTCACTTCGCTCGGGAGCTCCCGAACGAAGTGAACCCCACCCTCCCCCTCAGAAATCGTAGGGGGTAGGGGTAGGGTTCGCATGTGGCCCCCTAGCAGGGTCGAACGACTGCCGCTCGCTGGCCAGCGCCGCCAGCGCTCGAGAGAGGTCGAGTCGCGCCGCCCTGCCGACGCGGCAGGACCGGCTGGCCCGCCCAGGGCTCGAGCGGGCGGCCGCTCCGCCATCATGAGGCCCCTCGCGCCGAAACTCCAGTCACGTTTCGCGGCATTCGAGCGAGAGGCGGCCAAATCTCGTTTTCGGCGCTACAGTGAAAACGTGTAGTAAGGACGCGAGGCAAGGACGCAAGACACTTGGAGGCCGAAGTTGGATTTTTGGGGCGGGGAGCGGCCAGTGAAAATGGCGAAGGACGGGCCGCAGAGGCAAGGACTCAAGGGCACCCTAGAGGAAGGCGCGCGTCCTTACTAGGCGCGTTGACTGTACTGTAAACGTGCGTGCGCAGAACGCGTCAGAAGAACGCGAGAGGGTTCCCGTTCATCTCAGTTGCGTTTTTCTTCCGTGGATCTGTCCTCTCGTAAGCCCGCGGAACTTTTGCAGACGCCCTGCAGGTTCCCCTTCGGTCGCCAATTCATAACAATGATGGGGGCATGAGCTAATACGCAAGGGAGGAACTGGTTCTCACGTGTAATTAGTTTGCCGTGTCGGCCTTTCTCCCCCTCTCGGTGGCGTAAGAAGGCGGTCGGTGGTCTCCCCCCTCCCCCCTTCCACCGCCGCGCCGCGCCCCGCCCCGCAGTGGCGAGGCAGGCAAACGTTTCCGATGGCCACCTGTTCTGCTACGGTATGAAGGCCGAGGATGGGAGGATAGGAGGATAGGAGTTTGGGGGCCTGATGTGCTTCTGACCCCTCGGTGTTTGCTGTTGTTTCTTTGTGTTCGAGCTCTCTTCGGTGTCCTGGGCCTTGTGCCCACTGAGTCTATAATGCCGTTTGGAATTGGATTTGTCTGCGACATGTTTGGGGCAATTGGCTGAAATCATGGTGATTCACCCCCTCGGTTGTCTTGATATCGAACAGCCTCCGAGAACTGCCTGACCTGACCAAGCCCGACCTTACTTCCGTGGCGATTTTGGTTCAAAGGGAGGTGGCTCACGGAAAGCCCTCGCACGGCGCGCACCTGGCCAGGGCGCTCGGGCGCGCGCAAGCGGCGGGGATGGAAGCCCAGATGTGGGAGGCTGCCAGCGCGCGGACACTGGCCGGGAGGCTTCGCTGTGAACGGCAAGCTGCGGTGGGCGGCGCTCGCGCGGAGGCGCTGGCGCACAGGCTCAAGCGCCTCCGCAGGGCGCTGGCCGAAGAGTGAGCCCCGGATGATCGCATCTGCTGCCACTTCCCGACCATGGGGGGGGCGGTGGGCTGGCCACCAGAGCAGCTGCAGTGCTGCGTTGAGGCAATGGAGTCTGGCACTTGGTCGCGGTATGCGGCGCCGCCATTCGCTGCCAGCCTGCCTCGTCTGCCTACCGCGCCGCTGGCTACCGCGCTGGAGGCCCTCCATGACGACAGCAGGAGTGCGCCGCTCAGGGCCAGGGCCCCTGGTTTCCTGCCCCGCGGTGCTGGCGGGGCGCAGGCGAACGGGGACAAGCAGGTTGAGGTGGCCATCATGGAGAACGTTGATGGGGAAGGCTGTAGGTAAACAGCAATAGCTGGAAGCCTCAGACAAACTGGCCTGTACGCGGCCTTCGGCATGGAGTCGGAGGACTCGCAAAGGGTGGAGGGCAAGTACCAGGAGCTGGCGGGCTCAGCCCACCCCAACCTGTGCGCGGTCCCCGGCACGACGGCGCCCCAATTCTTCAACATCGGCCTGGAGGGCGGCTCCGAAGGCGCGGAGGAGTTGGAGGAGGCGCACGTGGTGAAGGTCGACACGCCGGAATCCAAGTGCTTTGAGGAGGCCGACAAGAGCATCGAGACCGAAGGGGCGCCCGAGGCAGGCGCTGGCGTGGGCGGGACGACCCAGGGCAAGTCCATGGATGCGTGCGGTGATGAGCCTACAGGTCTTGGTGTCGTTACTGGTCTGGCGGACCTTCGTGCGCAAGGCCGCGCAGACCGTTGAGAACACCCTTGTGATGTTGGCCGCCGTGTAGAAGATCGTCAGTGAGGCACCAGCGGCAGGCGTTGTCGAGGGGTTGGCAGCCCGGGATAATTATGAGTGCATGCCGGCGGTGGGGTGCCGGCGGGTCTCGGCGTTGCCTCTCTGCTCTGGCGGATCCTCGCGCAGAGGGTCGGGCAGATCGTCGAGAAGCGTTCCTCCTCCTCCTCCTCCTCCTCCTCCTCCTCCTCGGGGGATGCTGTTTGTCGTGTGGAAGATGGCCATGCGTGTCCTCGTGGGGACGTCGGCCAAGCTGTGGCGTTCGCTCCTGAGGCTCATCGTGCGGGCTTCCGGAGGCGCCGACCGGCACGCTCCTCCGGTCCTGCGGCACGCCGTGTGGAAGATGGTCGTGGTGCTGCTGAGGATGGCGATGCTGATCGTGCTGATGCTGCACTTCGTCGTGAGGCGGATGGTCCTGCTGTTCTTTGCGCGGCTGGTGGCCCCGAGCCACGTGCAGAAGCTGGCGGCTCTGCGGCACCTCGTGAACAGGCAGGTCAGGCAGCTGTTCGGGTCGACGATGGTGCCGATCCTCGGGCGCCTGTGGCAGGCGCTGGTCACGAGAGCTCGGGGACAACGAGCGCTCGCCGTTCGT